TCAATCAATGTCAAGATGTGCACTGCTAGAGAAATCTCAAAAAGTTAGAGCTGTACGCAATTATGTTTGTCTATGAAGTATTTGGGTTAAATGTAGCACAGGTCCATTCCCCTGTTGTGTGAACTAAAATTCGAAAATTTTCATTCAGACTACATATTTGACCTAAATCTATGAAAATTAATGTCAACAGCACCTCAGCCAGGATGCGACTTAGCTATGGATATGACCGAAGTCTACCTCTGTCAATGTCCTCGTGAATTTATTTCACCTGGTTTTCTTTTTCAATGATTTTGAGAATTTACAACGGGGATACTCATGCAAAACCTTTTTCTTTTAGAGAAGCTCATTTATGCAATTTAAGCCTGATCTTGTCAGCAAAATGTCGCATCAGACACAGCCACAACTTCAACTAGAACCGCGTTAGTAAATTAGCAATATAATAGTGTCGCAATCTGCCAGAATTCCTCCTCATAAATCTCAATACAAACGTCAAGCATGGCTCAAAACAGTAGCGATACCGTTTAATGAGATGCGTATGGGCATTGAAATTTGACGCCACAACTTAAATTAGTTATCTAGAATTCCTCCTCATAAATCTCAATACAAACGTCAAGCATGGCTCAAAACAATAGCGATACAGTTTAATGAGATGCGTATGGGCATTGAAATTTAACGCCACAACTTAAATTAGTTATCTATTTGGTCTACCAAAGTTTGAATTGGCATCATTCTTTCAAAATAATAATAATAATAATAATAAATAAAAAGAAAGAAAATTTTGAATTGGTATCAATCAAGTTTGATTGAGGTTGTGGGAACTAGAAGAAGAATCTTACCTTTGAAAACTCAATAGAGGTCACCAGATGCATTTGGGTTACGTTTGAAAGCGAACGCGCTTTTTGAGAGAACTGTGAGGTCTAAAGAAAGCCTGATGTTTTATTAAAAAGGTAATGACGAAACATGATACAATGGATTGCTAATATCGACAGTGTGACCACATTTGCAGATTAAAAAGATTCGCATGTTGAATTTGAAGGGAGAATATATGCTGAAATATTGACAATTTGAGAATAATTATTCTTGCTAATTGAATATATTTAATAACTTAGACGCATGAAAAATGGATTACACACAGTATCTCGTAAGTGCGTGTGTGCACGCGCACATGTACCCATGTGGGCGTGTTTTCAGGCCACTTCTCGTTATTAAATCGTTTTCTTTGAGAAAATTTGATTTATTAAATCATGTAAGAG